CATTTAAACTTTCCGTTTTCATTTGTTGTCATTGAAAACCTGTGGGATCTGTATTTCAAATATTTAAATTCGTCAAAAATTAAGCATTAAACTGAACCATTGTATTACTTGCATTATAAATGATATATAAATAAAAAACAAGATAGAATGCTATAGTCGAGTTCCCCGACTATCAGATACCCGTTACTCAGCTAGTGGAAGTGCGAAAGAGAAATTTCATAATTTTCTGGTATATCGTAAAAATTGCGAATAAAATTAAGAAATGAAAAAAAAAATTGTTCAAAAGTGTGGGCGTAACAGTTTTGGGCGGCTTGTGGGCAGTTTTTTGGCCAATTGATAGAAATTTACAAGACTAGTAGAAGGTAAACTAATATTACAACATTTACAAAAAATGTAGCCGTGGCAGTTTTGTGAGATCGAGGCGTTCATACGGACAGACATGGCCAGTTCGACTCGGCTAGCATACCCTTCTACCCTACGAGTAACGGGTATAAAATGGTACCAGATGGTATAATGGTACCAGATTTCCTGCATTAGATTTCACTCTGCGCTGGCAGAAGGCAACTGAAGACATCAACTAGCGGAAAACCGACTGGATGGTAACCTGGATCCAAAGAATCCAGGCTATCGAAAACAAGGTCGCAAGACTCATCACCGGCTGCGAGTGGTTTGTGCAAAATACTACCCTGCACAGAGACCCTTGACGGGATAAACCAGCACTCGACTTGCCAGCGCTCTGAACAGATCTCGCCCACCAAGGAGGCTCAATAGAAGGCAACCGCGGGATCTCCTTTGACAAGGGCCAGGAGAAGCTGATGCTTATCATAAATTATTTGTTATCTGTGAATGGGCTGAATTAATAGACAAATAAATAGACAAAAAGAAAAAAAAAAGTTTTGTTTTCCTGAAAAATTTAGATGCTGCCGGACAACGATCAGCTGATCATTAATTGTGTTGCATACTTTTGGGCTGACCGTGATTGTCACACCAGTTCATGTTGCACCTAGTGTTGCCTACTTTCGAGGGCCACTTCATTTCAAATTCTGCAAATTCACCTCCTGGCATTTCTGCTCGCCTGGTATCTGAAATCGAAGAAGCTGCATTTTTCGGGCAAAAATTAACAAGTCATTTTGTAAGGCAACTTGGGTAATGTCCGATTCCATACACCAGGCGAACAGAAATGCCAGAAAGTGACCAACGATCATTTCGTTTTCAGCAGACACCTACTGCGGATTATGATCGCCTGATGCAAAAAGTCTGAAAGTCTTACTTTGATCCGAGTTTTGTTGGGCAATTTCCGATTCCAAACACCAGGCGAACAGAAATGCCAGAAAGTGACCAACGATCATTTCGTTTTCAGCAGACACCTACTGCTGATTATGATCGCCTGATGCAAAAAGTAATGAAATGTGCCCAAAACTATGAAAATCTGATCAGTTTGAACCGAGTTTTGTTGGGTAAATTGAGGGATTCTTGATTTCAGATACCAGGCGAACAGAAATGTCAGGAGGTGACTTTGCAGAATTTGAAATCAAGTAGCTCTCGAAAGTAGGCAACAATAAAATCAACAATCAGCTGATCGCAAATATAAATACCCCCTGAAAGTATGCAACAAATAAATTGAACAGCTGTGGCAATTGTGTTCAGCTCAAAAGTATGCGACGAATAATTACTGATCAGCTGATCAATAAATTGAACAGCTGTGGCAATTGTGTTCAGCTCAAAAGTATGCAACGAATAATTATTGATCAGCTGATCAACCATATCCGACAGATCCTAAAGGTATGCAATATTAATATTGCAATAATACGGGCGAAGTTTTTTTTTTTTTTTTTTATTATTATTTTATTAAAAGTCCTACTCTGGCAGTCAAAGAGATCGGTTGTGTCGCGCGCATGCAAAAGTGATTTTTTTTGCTTATCGGTGCATTCCCTTTTGTGCTCAAGATAGCACAAATCATTTAAACTTTCCGTTTTCATTTGTTGTCATTGAAAACCTGTGGGATCTGTATTTCAAATATTTAAATTCGTCAAAAATTAAGCATTAAACTGAACCATTGTATTACTTGCATTATAAATGATATATAAATAAAAAACAAGATAGAATGCTATAGTCGAGTTCCCCGACTATCAGATACCCGTTACTCAGCTAGTGGAAGTGCGAAAGAGAAATTTCATAATTTTCTGGTATATCGTAAAAATTGCGAATAAAATTAAGTTTTGGGCGGCTTGTGGGCAGTTTTTTGGCCAATTGATAGAAATTTACAAGACTAGTAGAAGGTAAACTAATATTACAACATTTACAAAAAATGTAGCCGTGGCAGTTTTGTGAGATCGAGGCGTTCATACGGACAGAGATGGCCAGTTCGACTCGGCTAGCATACCCTTCTACCCTACGAGTAACGGGTATAAAAATTCGCTATCTTCTTGTTGCAATCAATTTGCGTTTAATTTCTGATACTTCCCTTTTGCCATGTACATCCATTTAAAGATTGCAGCTACAAACTACTGAATCCGAAAATTGTTTTTTGTAACAACTTTTTGACTGTCGCTGCCGGCTGCATGGAAAAAAAAAATTGTCATGATACTTTATAATGTTATTCCGTTGCTGCTGTTTCTGCCACTTTTCTTGTTTTTGCTATGGCATTATCCGACTTTCGCTTTGTCATGAGTGCTTACATTTTTTCCCTGGTTTATTTTTGCAAGTTCATTCGATTTTTTTGTTACCCGATTCCGCTTTGCTTTTGCGTCACTTCGAATGTTTTGCATGCTTTAATATTTTTCGGTTTGCGACAACCAAAAAAAATTGCACGCTTAACAAATTATTTTAATACTTTTAATCAGCTTCCTTCAGTAGTTTCCTTCAATGAGTTCACAAAATGGGGAAATAACCATGATTACACACTTTTGTGCACTTCCTTCTAGATCACATATCATAATTTTAATATATTTAGCTTAGTAAGTTTATTTTATATCATTTTGGTTGAAAACAATTCCTGTACATTTAATTATTCGCCAAATTCGATTAGGTTCTTCGATTAGGGTAGTCGTTATTCGTTATTCGTGCTGACGGCCTTCGTGCATTTTTTTGTTTGCCTTCACTTAATATTTTTTACCATTTTCGTTTGGCGATGGGTGGATGGGATGTCCTTGCACCTACGTATCTGTAAATAAATGCATGCATTTCGCTGAGCGCCCCAAAAGTATGTTATGCCTGGTACATTCCACATTTCCACAATTCAGAGCCGGAAAAATGAATGAAAAAAGCGCCGACGCCCATTCGATTTTTTATATGCCGTTTTCAATAAACAGACGCCGCTTGGCGAGCTTTTTATTCCGCGTTCCCCAGCTCTTCTCGTCCTGCGGCAGGCGTTCAAAAACAATCAAATATGGAAATTTCTCGGACCCGAATCGGCATACAGAAACCAGTAACCAGTAGCCAGTAACCAGTAGCCAGTAACCAGTTGCCAGTAACCAGTATGCCAAGCTGGCAACTGGGCCACACATAATGCACATATGTGTCCACAGCGATGTTGTCCTTGTCGCTGCCACATCCGTCTGCCATATCACCCTATATGCCAATATTCCCCACCCGAATATGTCTATATATATATACATATATCCCCTCGATTTGACTGCATATTTTTGGCGTGTAAAAAAGAAGGGGGAGGGGAACTGGGTTGCTGGCGCACAGATAACTATTTTCGATTGCGCATTTCGGTGCGTTGAGGCGGAAATATTTCAATTGTGGAGCTGACTTGTAATTTTTCATGCACTCTAGTTGTGGCAGGCGGGCACAATTTGGGTGGTGAAATCAGCTGTTACACTTTCATAATACGCTCCCCCTTCGGCTTGTGGGTGCCTTTCAATGTCCTGATTATGGCCAAATGAAACGATAGCGGAAACGACATAAAAGAGTCGATCAGATTAGAATAGCCGTCTTTAAGTTGCTTAAATTGGAGTAAATGTGAGATTCCCAACTAAAATGTTTTCTTCAATTTGTCCTATTCATTTTTATAGCAACGTATTTCATTTCCCACTTACCGCACATTTAATAAAGAGTTCGTTCTGAGCTTGTTATTTCAAAAGTGCTCTCAATTTCTTAACAACAAATGCGATTGCTCAGTAACAATACACTTACATATGCGACTAAAATCGTAGCATAGGCCATAAATTAAGTATAAATATGTATCAAGCTGGGTGAAAATTGACACAAAATATTGCGAAACTATGTCTGAGATAAGCCTGTTTGCTGAAAGGAAAATTGTTACTTGGCAGGGAGGGGGAAGCCCTATTTTCGTGACCACTGCTGTGCATGTGTGTGGATGGAAATAGCAATGCAGCAAACCGCAAATGTTTGTTACTCCATTACGTTTGTGTGTGGCTTTGCGTGTGTGGATGGGTTAGATTTCGCTTTTCCACATTTTCCCCTTGGAAATTTATTGCCGGCATTCCAAAAAAGATTTTCACTTGTAGTTCGGCATTCGGCATTCGCCATCGCCATCGCCATGGCCAACTCCCAACGAACCAATTATCCTGGAAAGGTGGGCGGTTTGAGGTTGACATGGAAGATTCCCCACTGCCCACACCGCCAGCACCTTCAATTATCGGCTTAGTTGGATCTGCAGTTGCAGCAGTTCGATTGCAGCAGCTGTTCGCATTGCATTTGGGCCAGCAAACAGCAAACCGGAAGCGGAAAACCGGAAACTGGCTGGGAAACCTGGGAAACCTGGGAACTGGGAAATGGGCAAGTACCTGGTTTTTGGCTGGCATTCAATTAGGTATCGGTCATCCCAATTCAACTGCTAACTGGCAACTGGAGATTTGGCGCTGGCGATTGCCGCTGCCCATTGTCAACACTTCAATTATCGCAACAACAGGTAAAAGGATATCTCTCCGCCGAGATTCCGACCTTGTTTTACTATCCCGGATTGTATATATTAATGATTAATATATATATTTTATTTTCTAGTTTATGCATCTAGCCACAGCTACTGCGTCTAGTTTATGGCCCAAAAATGCTACAACATAATATGGCAACCATTAACTGAAGGGAATGCAGCAATTCGAGCCTCACATTTAGAATGTCCTGTTTCCTCTTCGTTCCTGCATTTTTCCTCTAACATTTTGACTGTTTTTTTCGCTGGCCGCAATCTCGCAGGATATGCTAACTATGACTATTCCGCGATATTCGGCGAATTGTTGGTCAGCAAGTTAATATGCATTGGTATTGGTGGGTTATTCATACGCCCCGTGGGACGAGCGAATAGCAAAACTCTCAATGGACCTTTGTTAATTTGTGTGTGTACTTTGCGTGTATTTGATTTGATGCGTTTAGTACTTAGGACAACAATTACGTTTAGGTTAACTAGCATAAATCTATAATCATCACATTATGGCACAATGTATGTTATGTAGTATATATATATAGAGATTGAGATATACATAGATATCGATTGATACAACAAATTAAATTTTCTGCTAACCGCACGCCTGAATTGAATCACTTGTGATTCCGTGTGATTTTGCTGGCAAATTTAAAGCCCTCTTGTCGTCTGGAGAAATTTCGTGACATGTGCTATCACTCTTCTCATGAAGTTAAACCGCTAAATGTATATTTTTTTTAGAAATATCCACGATTGTTCACGCTATCAGGCGAGCCGTGTTGCGATTTCGACGACTTCCGGCTCCGCCATAATTACTGCCATAATGATCGCCATTTATTTGGGTCAGTGTAGTCGTCGTATGCGGCACATAGAGACTTGTATTATTCCGGGCATGTCGACGTCTATAGCGATATCCGGTTATCAGTTCTCGAACCGTCTTTCGGTACTTATCGGAAAGCACACAGTACAGGAAAAAATTGGAGGCCGCATGTAGGGAGGCCAGAAGATTACACACATTTCCCGCCACCACCTGAGTGCCAACTTGAATTTCCTTGTACTGATTGACTATCAAATAAATCGCCCAGGGCAGTTGGCAAACAATGAACATTAGTACCACCGCAATGAGTGTTATCGTCACGCGATTTTCCTGCGACACGCTGCCTTTTAATCCAGAATTCGATTTGCGCTGGGGGTTTAGAATGTATGCAACATATTATTGTGAGACTAGCTCTAGATATTTCGAGATATCTATATAACTCACTTTTGTGCGCCTTATGCTGCTTGCATTGGTCAGGTCACCACGCAGATTCTTGGACCGATGCACCAGCAGAATGAGAAAGGAGTTGAAGGTGGCCAGTAGGAGTAGGGGGAACACCACGAAGACCAGCAGGGTGAACAGGTTCCACAGATAGCTATACAGCTCATCATAGCCCAGTTCCGAAAGGCCGTGGTTATAAAAAGTCACCTAAAACATAAACAACATGGATTTTAAGTGAATCCACAGTCGAACTGTCCGTAAAAATATGCTTTCCAAAACACACAAAGCACAGATATCTTTTTGAGTTATCGCCGAATTTATTATAGCATGGCAGTTCAACGCTTTCTCGTGATTTTCAGTGGCTAACCATTTGCTCATGTTTTTCGCCAGGGAAATCTCCGGTATTTGCAACACATTTTTACTCACATTTTGACAGTATTCCGTTACATTAAATGCGAATGCATCCGTATTGTTGATGTTGTGGTTCTCAGCGCGGCGCTTGCGACGCAACAATTGCAGCAAACTCTCCGTGACCCCTGACCCCTCTTCCTCCTCTCCCCCCTCCTGATCCTGATCCTGATCCTGCTCCTCCAGCGTTTTCCTCAGCGCGGGCAGCGTCACAAGTCCAGATGACTGCCAGTGACGGCGACGTCGTGGAATGTTCTCTAGTTTAGGGAAAAAGTCACACAATTATCAATGGGGAGCTGATGGAGCTGTCTACTACTGGATTTCTAGCAAACTCTTGCTTACTGAAGCAAACTAGTGTATCCCCTCGTCACTCACCTGGCTCTCCATCACCATCACCACTGCCACTGCCCCAGTCGACGAGCAGACTGGTGCTGCCGGCTGTCGTGGACTCGGTGCTGTAGTCCTGCGATTGCCAAATGGTCGCCGGCGTGGGCAGCGGGGGCGTGGCCAGCGGGGGCGTGGCAGCCGCGGAAGGCGGCGGCGGCGTGGGCGAGATGTTGGCCACCGTTTGGTTGCACGGCTGGTAGGCGTCATCAATCTGCCTCGAACCCATCGTAATTGTGTGCTCGAAGGCCGTCGAGAGTGTGGACAGCAGACAGAAGATGGCCACGGCTAGCAGAGCATACAAAAAAGTATACATATGGTAATACACTCTATTGTTGCCTGGACTTATTTCGGCCAACCCACCTGCTATCACCTTTTTGGCCAGCGATTCCGTGCAGAACGTCTGTCTCTTGAGCGGATAGCGTATCGCAATGAATCTCTCGATGGTGAAGCACACGGCAATGTAAATTGAGATGTAACCTGTTCGCCACAACAAAGAAGGCAATTGTAAATGGGTGTGGCAGTGCAATACGCGATGCACTGCAAATAATGGGGCAAATCCCATCTGAAACTTACTACTGCAGGTGTCATATGAATTTGAGCAATACGCGTATATATAAAATCGTTGGGTAAATTAAGCCCAAATTTGAGTTAGACAATGCACTTTTCCATGTGCTCCGGAATTATAAATAAACGCAGCTACACTGGTAATCCCCCGAAACCACACATTTTTGTACGCACACCAATTTATTCGCTGCGCGGGCTGTCAATTTATTCAAAATGCAGCGCACTCTAAGCGATTGACGTTCGTGCTGATGAGGGAGGGGTGGTTGGTGGTTGGTGAAAAGTCGCGGGGAAAGCGGAAAATGGTTGGGAAAAACGCTATCGCATGGCAGTGAGCCTCAGCTGACCGCTGGCATTTCGCAGAAAGCGCTGCTTACTATACCTCGTAAATTGGCAGAGCTCAATGAAATTGATGCACAACAGCAGCATCAGCCGCAGGTGCAATTCGAATTGATGGGCTCATCGCAGGAATCCATGGATCCGGGGAACCGGGAACCGGGATCCGGCAGAGGCTAACCCGGCAACTGGGGAATTTATGGAATCCGCACCATTCCACTTAGTGCTCTCCAAACGTTGCATTCGGACATTTTTAGCCCAGCAGCATTTGCTTTCGCCGCTCGAAATGCACGCTTTTCCCATTGAAGTTTGCGCCCTTGTGATGGAATAAAATGCAATATTTACACCCCTACGTACATATTCAAAAATGGAAAGAATATTCAAAGCATAGTATTGCATTCCAAGTGAATTCAAGTGACTTCCGGCCACACAACCTATTGTTGCATACTTTATACATCTTTGATGATGAAGTGCGTTTGCTTTTTGATTCCTTGACCGCTTTTTGATTGCGAATCAGTTAGTACTCACCGAAACTGTCGCACAGCCACACGAAATAGCCATAGAGCTGCCAGTATAGCTTGAGGTGGTACTTGGTGTAGTCGTAGTGCTGGAGCGACAGGATCAACTGGCATGTCAGGTAGGCGATATCCGTGATGGCCAAGGCCGTTAGATATATGTTTGTGGTGCATCTCATGCGCTTGCTAAAAATGGCGGAAAGAATATCGAGGAGAATGGCAAATGGTGTTTATTCTGTTGGGCTCTCGACGCATTTGGAAATCAGGCCAAACCATTTCGGTGGACAATGCAAAACACCAATGCTGCCAAGTGCAACACCAATTGAAATAGCAAATTGCCTGAAAGCCGAATGGTCAGGGGTGTGGGGGGAGTGGGAGTGGGAGTGGGAGTGGGAGCGGGTTGGTCGCGGGGCCTTGGGCATTTTCCGAAATGCGCACAAATGTCGGCACAGTCATAAAGCCAAAAGATGAACAATAAAAACTAACTGCTGGCATTTAGTTTGCTCCCTGGCATCGCCCGCAGCTCTGATAGTTAAATTTTCTGGTTTTCCCGCAAAACAAAATAGAGCAATGAAAATATTTAATTAAATACCCATTCACGCCGTCAACGTTCAATTTTAGGCTGCTTTGCTTTGGATAGTTATAAACATGGGTGAAAATAATTCATAAGAAACAGCAATAAATCTAAAATATTCATACCATTTATATCAATACATTTTGTTTAGCAAAAAATAAATAATGTGGCAGTCCTTGAGGTGGAAATGTGCTGAAAACACTGTTTACCTTTACCCAGCTTTTCCGGGAAATGGACATATGGTGTCATAGCAGTCAGCCTGCCGCACAGAGCACTTGCAACTGTCGCATATTTTCCGGCACACATAAAAAACACACACACAGTTTCGGCGTATCTGTGTGCGTTTTTGCATTTGGCACATAAAATGGCTCTTATTGTTTCAGTTACTGTTATTGTTGTTGCACTTGTCCCCATCATAGTTGTTGTTGCTGCTATTATTGTTGCTGGCTGTGTGGAAATGATTTTAAAGTGCAGCGGTGGCTACAATTAAATGTCGTGTTTAATGCGCTGCGTACCTGCTCGCTGCTTCATCCATGTTCCACTTATTTCACTCACACACACACACAAGACGACATGCAGTTGGGTGCACAGAGAGAAAATCACGCAAGTCAGCTGGCATTTTGAATGGCGAAGCGTAACTCAAAGCAAGTTGAAGACATGCAGAAGTGCCACACAAAATGCATTCACCAGGCTCATATTTTATGTGCATTGCATACTTTTGTGCACCTAACCAAAAGCAGGTAAATCCGATTAAACGCTTTTGCATACCTAATCACTTAACGTGCTGCCCCTCACGTTGCAGCTTAAACTTCCTTGAAATGCCATCACCCAAGTAGTTGATATTTAATTCGAAAATCTGGTGGCCCTGTTGCATGCATAAAATAGCAGTGCCTAAAGGCCACGCCCACACCATTGCCCAAAATCGGCTGGGCTATAATCCAGCAACAATAACCACCGAAATGGATGGGGTTCCAGGGGTCAGAGGGGTCGGAGGGGTCGGAGGGGTCTGAGGGGAGAAGGACATGTGTGGGGGATACAAGTGCACTTACCGCGTCAAAACATAAATGCTCACTGAATTTCCCAATAGTCCAATAACAAAAACGCACGGCACCAAAATGCGTTGGACAACATGCCGCACTTCCGCCATATCCGCATCCGAAAACATTTCGCCAACAGTTGCGTTTGCCTCCGCCAGCGTCGCAGTCGCTGTCGACGTCGCAGTCGCAGTCGCAGTTGACGTCGAGGACATTGTCATGACTGCCACCACGCCTCCCCAGCCAGCTCCGCCTCCTTTTCGGCGCCTATCCTGGCCACTTGAGCTCGGCCCGTATCGGTTGCGTTTTTTGCCCGATTTTCCGTATCTCCGCTCCGCTCGAATCCGATTCCAATTGCACTTTTGTCAGCAGCCAAAACACACACACGCCCACTGCCACGCCCACTGGAAGAATGTGGAAGAAAAGAGGACTTGAGTTAGGTATATGATATGGTACTAATCTGCTTAGTGCGGGTTTTGTGGTAAACGTTATTGCCTTTTAGAAATGATTGCTTATAGAAATATCTAAATCACTTGATAAGGTGTCGAAAAGTATGCAAGGAACTAGGGAAAATGGTTTGGAACTTGGAATGCCAAACATAATGTTGCATACTTTTGGACATGTGCTGCAGTTAGGCTAAATTTTAATCAGAATGGTAATACACCACATTTGAGATTCTAGTTAGGGGAAATAAACAAGAGGAAAATCAACACTCTGCAGCATTATAATTTCTCACGCTAATCATTCGATATCCTTCCGTTCCTTGAGTGTCTGGCTTCCGAGGCACCGAATGATTTATGGCCAACTCGGATTGGCATTGATATTGGCCAACAAACCGGACAGATACAGATAGCACTTGGCCAGCAGTGGGATACTGGGCAGCGCTAGTGGGTGGATATGGCCTGCAGCTCTGTCTTCCAGCTGTTTGTTGCAGATTTCTGCAGCAACCACTCGGATATTTGCCTCGAATTACATTTTCCAGACACACACACACACACACACAACCCGCATAGAAAGTTCACTTATTTATTTGGTTTTCAATTTCGGGGCTTTTTCGCTTATATCTTTTGTTTCAGTTCGCAACAAGCTCGTTCCAACGATTTCTCGATTTCGCCACGAGATTTTTCCCCACGCTTTTCTACCACCCACTTACAAACTGGGCAGACAAATTGCGCGTAAAATGAAACTGGAATTGCAATTGCAGCGGGGCAACTACAAAAAAAAATAAAAAAAACATAAGCAACGAAAACAGGGCAAAATAGAAAATCGCAAATAGACAAAAGGAGTGCAAGGAATTGGAAAGCGTTTTAAAAACAATAAAAGTGGCAAATTCACAGTCAAGTTACCACCCCTCGAAATTCGCAAATATTGCACGTACGTGAGTGAAAACAAAAACCGAAAAACCGAAAAACGATATTCGTTGCATTAAGCGAACTTGGGAAAAGCAAACAAAAAACAAAAAAAAAGTGGGGATACAAAAATGCTTTTATTTCCGCTAGCCACATCTGATGACATTTGAGAGGTTCAAAAAAATAAAGGTAGGAGAAAAAGCACCCATTAATTGATCGCAAAAAAAACATCACACACACACGCATTAGGTTGCTGTCACACTTTTGACAGTTTTTTAAAATCCCCGAAATAAAATGAGCTTAGTCCTTTTCAAGCCGCACATGTGCAAAGAAAATTATAACTTCTATATCGAATTGAATCTGCATTCTACATCGCATATTTTACCAGTGCAGTCCAGCTGCAATCTGAAATAAAAGGCAGGACACAGGAGCTGTAAGGTCCTGCTTCAGTTATCAATGAATGAATATGGAAATGGTTGAATGAATGCGGGAATGAATGGGCATGAATGAATGAATAGCTGACTAGCTGGCTGACTGAATAATTGAATGAATGCGTGTATGAGCGGCGCCTGGAAGGAAGATGCCGGAATATGGCTAAAATGCCGCTGAGTGGAATGGAATGGAATAAAACAGGCCCATCCTTTTTTCTATTTTTTTTTTTTTGCTTTTCCTTTAGCTTTTCACAATACGTCTGCTCTTCTTCTTCCTCGGGCTGTACTTTGTTGTTGTTGTGGCAGCCGCAGGCAAACAAAGACTTTTTGTTGTCTGTTTTGTAGTTGTTGTTGGCGGTCTCTATACACATACATATATTTTTTAAGCAACAGAATTATTTTCTAAGCCCAAGCAATTTAAGGGGTATTGGGGACTCGCTCTGGTTTTATCGTAACTGTTTTCATCAATCTGTAATCTATAGTATCTTTAATCTATTAATCATAATCTATAAATCAGCAAAAATAGTTACACTTATAGTTCAAATAAGATTTAGAACAAATATTACGTATACGTAATGTAGTTCAGGTAAACAGAGTGGAGAAAATTTATGTTTTTTACAGGGTATAAGCCAAATCCAAAGTGTACTTTTGGTCTATAGACACATTTCTGTATATGTGTCATTTGGGCAGACACAACAAAAGATGCCTAAATTAGCACACACACACACACGCTCACACACACACACACCTAGGCGGTTGACAGTTACGTGCGAAAAAGGCGAAGAAGAATTCTCCAGATTTTCCCCACCCTTCGGTTTTTGTTGCTACCAGGCCGCGTTCCACTTCTTTTTTTACAGTTCGGCCAGATGCAACAAAAAATTCCTCTGGAATTTTTTTTGCTCCCCTTGCATAATTAGTGAGTGGCTCAGTGGGTACAAAAAATAAAAATAATAATAATAGCAACAAGAGAAGCTTGGGCAAGTCAAGTGGCTGTGTGCCATTTTCCCAGCACCTGCAAAAAATGTGCCTTGCTCCTAATTGGCAGTCAACTACAAAGAAAATGGAGAAAATAGCTTTAAAGCCACGTCCAAGGAGGCAGTCGCAAAAAAAAATGGGAAGAAAGCGAGGCCCGCGGCTGCGTTTTCCCTGATTAGGATAAGTTGCATTTAAGCAACATTTAAAATTAACTTTAAATTGAAAACCAGACAGAGAGAAGGCGCACACAGAAGCCTGAGAGCACTACACTGAAAATATGGCCCACAAATGATACATTTTGTGCGCGTAAACCAAGAAATTAGAATCCGAACCTTACCAATCTGTGCGAACTATGCTTAAACATTCTAGATAGCCAACTTAGAGAGGTTCAAAGTGTGGTCATCCGATTTTTTTGCGTGTAGAGCCTGAAGCGCTCACCAACCAACTGACCACATAAATCCACGAGGGGCAAGTCAACGCTTTTTTGGGTTTTGTTTATCGTTGGCCGTCTTCCCAGCCCGGCAGCACTTCATCTCCTTAACCCCAGTGCATTTTGTTTACCCAGAACCAGCAGCGGCAACAAGATAAAGTCAAATAGTTACAACAGCATCATGACAAGGCAGTCCCAGTCACTCACATTGGAGTTGGAGGGAGTGGGAGTGCGGGGGCTGGAGTCGTACAGAGAGTCAGTCAGTCAGTCAGCCAGTCAGCCACTCAGTCAGTCAGCCATTCCATCAGGTTACCCCCGGTCCGAGTTTCGGAGTCAGCAACCAAGGCATCCATTGCAGCCTTTGTGGCAAAACAAACAGGAGCTCGGTGCTCGATGCTCGGCGGCCAGGGGCGGGGAGGCGGAGTCCTGGGTGGAGGGGGGTCGCAGGGGGTCGGCAGCTCCGACAGCTTCTTCTTTCACTTGAAACTACAACAACAAGTGCGCTAAACTATACTATACCGACTTTGTGGCATTGAGAGCGTCGGCACAAAGAAGAAAACAACACAGTTTGCACAGCTCGAGAAGGTACACTCTGCGCGTGTACCCTGTAATTTAAGCAAGCCCCAGCTAGGTGTAAAATCTAGTTAATTACCTAGCAAATATAAGACAAGTTGGGAAATCTATAGAAATAAATCGATCGCCTGACTTGAAATCGAAGCCCCAGTTTAAAGGCATAGTGTATAAAATGCAAGCGGATTTTGTGGCAGCAGCGCTACCTCTTGGAAAACTGCCGGGAAAAGAAAAAAACTGGACAAGTACAGTTTCCCTCAGGTATTTTTGCATTTGATTTCAAGTTCTGTCTCGTCGCAGCCGGACTTTTGTGGTGGGCGTGGAAATGGGTAAAGAATCTGGCCAGGACTCGCAGATGCGGGGACCAGAAGGCATACGGATACGTATCGCGATACGGATACGGATGACGGTTGTCCGGACTGAGGCCAAGGAGCAGCATTGCCGTGACAGCCCATCAACTGGCATTTCCCTCGATCTCCCATCGCCGCACCCCAGATTTTCCAACACAGTCTGCTCTTTTTTGATGATGCCCGGCTTGGCAGACAAAATTGCATTTCGCTCAAGGTGTGACCAGGTCCGAGTGCAATGCGAAGTCCCCTGCCAAGCGTTTATAAATCGTGTTACAAGCATACATACACAGCAAAACAACAGAGGTGGGTATTTATGATAGAATGGCCTATTTTTCTATATTACCTTATTATAACGCATTCCCTTCTGACCACTTTCTATGCCCATTTACACGGCTATGCAGGGAAATGGGTTCGTAATTAGCCATCTAGCTGTTCAATGAGTCAGTTATGCACGCGTCATTGATTTCTTGCAGTGCAGGAGCGTGGGGCGGGGCAGCAGGAGGCGCTGGAATGCTGCGCAAAGGACCAACGTCCATTGCCATAAAACTTAAACAAGTTATTTATGCACACGCGTTGCGTGCTTGAAGCTCGTTTTCAATTGCAGCTGGCGAATGTTTAAGAGCTGTGAAAAGGGAGGGCATGAAAATGGGTGGTGGGTGCATGCAAGGTGCATGAAAAGTGGGGAAAAGTGGGGAAAAGCGGTGCCTGCAATGGGGCCTTAAGTTATCAACATGGAATGCAATTTTCCAAACTGTCTATTTTCTATGCAAATTCGCTTGCATTTCACAACGCGCTGCGCTTTGCGCTTTTGCTCTCTATCTTCCTACAACCACGCCCACGCCCACCCCCCGCCTCCGCCCCCCTCCAGGGGGGTGGTGTGGGACAGTCGGTGCAGACAGGCCATATCAGACATATCACAGAGAAAGCTGAAAGCGAAGAAAGCAGCAGCAGCGGGGAAAAACGCGTCGCACAAACATGCAAATGTGTTGCATAGTTTAGGGCGCTCACAGACACACACACACACTCGCACTTATCACAAGCATCCTGGCCCTGCTCGTGTGTGTGTGTTTGTGTGGCATATTAACTTGATATATATTTAGCTGGCAAATATAATGCTTACGACAGATTCCTTTTATTGCCTGGCGAAAAATACGGCAACGTAATTGAAAAAAAAGCAGCTCCACAAATTCTTTTTCGGACATCAGAATTTTTCTACTTTATGCTACTACCAATACCTTAGAGCATTAGAATAAAATCCGGTATCTGAACTCAGCGCCAGTAGCTCCTAAAACTGCATTC